GTTCTTTCTTTTTATTTAAATACACACACACACATATATATATATATATATATATATATATATATATATGTGTGTGTTTACTAAGTTAACTCGGTTTCTTAATTGGTCAATCACACACTGGACTCTACAAGAACGATTGCATTGATGCCAGAAGTTCTGATTCATAAGCGCAAAGGTTCAAAATTAAATTCTACAGTTACTACAGCAAATAACGTGTGCTCCTCACAACAATGGAGAAACCAAATCATGCTTCGTTTGTAACTATAATTTCATAATTACTTACAATGGTTAATTTAGCTATCTCTCCACAGTACGAGTATATATATATATATATATATATATATATATATATATCGGTTGTAACAGCAAAATTGTCCAAATGGTGATAAAGCATAATTTGCAGTCACACAATGTGTAATATCTAAGTAAAACACTAAACTTAATTTCTTATTCTAGCTTTACAGATAAGATGTTTAGCCATCTTGACTCCATTTGTCGTAAGAATAACTGAAAAACCATTTGAGTTATTCAGCTAGAAAGAGAACAGGTTAAAATCGTTTTGTGTCAGCTCCACTGTCCTCTCAACTGAGCAATGTTGAGTGGAAAAAGTTGATTCAGGTTTTCAGTAAAGGTACCAACATTCATACTTGGACTTTTATCTTCAAAGTCCATTCAAGAATTACCAAGAGAACGGTTAATAAGTTTTAAAGAAGTCGGAATAGTAGAGAGAAAACCTTGATAAGGTCATAAGGAGGATCATCATTTCAACTTAGAACTAAAGTGCTCAATTAGAAAAGATCCAAATCAATCCATAAGACTTTTGGGAACTGAGAGAAGTCTCAGATATAACAATCCAAAGAAGATGGAGAATAAGACCTGAAAATGAAATCGTTCGTAAAACCTATAAGTTCTTGTTACTTCAGGAGAGAATATTAGATTAAAAAAGGCGAAGATCATGGTGAATAAATTAAAAAATGATTCTTATACATAACTTCTTTTCAATCCTTCATGACCCTCCGATCCTGATCTATGATTAATTCATTATGAGGCCATTTTCGTTTATGATCTATTTTAGCATAGGTACCTCCACGAGATCGCTAAAAAAAGAGCATAGCATGATGAAAAAGACGCCAAACTTGACGAAAACAAAATTTTATCGTCTAAATGTTTGTTATTATTAAGAGGAAAGGTCAAAGTATTTTTGGGGTATTTTTTTCCATTTTTTAATCGTTTCTAGTGTGACGTCGTCCCCCGGTCGCAGCGTCAACTGTGTCGTTCGATCCCGGTCGCGGCGCCAATTGTGACGTCACGTGCTCCCCAGGCTCTGATATCCTAGTCACGGACAGCACCAACTGTGACGTCTTCGCCGCGGCGTCAGATGTTCGCTGCTCCAAACGTGACGTTCTAACCCTTTGGTTAGATTGATACCAGCCTCGCCGTTCCCAACCCGCTCCCAACGCCTGGTTACCAGGGTAACTGCACTGATCTCCAGTCTGCCTACCCCCGTTGTGAACTGATCTTAGACAGACGAGATCAAACAGGGGTTGGTGCCGTAATGCAAGTTGAGTCTAACGGGGGTGATAACACACAATTATGTATAAAAGAAAATAAAATAAAAACTCAGAAGGTCTAACGTATCAAAGAAAAAGGTAAAAAACTTTTTATGTCTATTTGCTCGGTATATAGGACTATGTCTACTTCCCGACCCGTTCTGTGGATTGTGGCATGACGCTTTTACTAGGCAACTTTAAGGCTTCAAGTTGTCTGCTCTCTAAGAAATTTGTGTTTCGGTGTGTCTTTGGACGAAAGTCGAAAAAAAAACTTATTTCTCTGGTCTTTATTCTAAGTCGTTCTTCAAACTACTTGTTCTTGGTTGAAGAAGAGTCCAGAATTGTGCGTGAATCTTGGTCAGCTATCCTGACGCGGTCTCAACACTGGGCGCTCATCTCTGCTTGTCGTCCGCGGCTGAACTCTTTCGCCGTCCGCGGCTGAACTCTGATTTCTGTCGTTTGGGGTCTCGCTTTTATTGACGCAGTCAAAACTGGGGTGGGTCTGTCGGGGCCAGGGTTTCTTCGATAATTCTAAATACGTATCCAACCATCTTATTTCTGGTTAGGGATTTTTCATTCTTTTCCATTTTCGGTAACTCACTCTCACTCCCACTCCCTTACTGTGCCTCTGAGGGGCGTGTACCCGCTTCCCTGCTTCTTCGTATCGGCTCCTTACACTTACACTTCTGACAGGGGCGTCGACCGATTCTCCTCGTGCGTCACGTGACCGCTCTCGGCCAATGAGGTCCTGGTCGGGTATCTTTCCTCCTCCTTCGTGTGTCATGTGATCTTATTTAGCCAATGACGTCTTTAGTCGGGCGTGGACAATCCGTGGCTTTGTTTTGGGAAAGAAATACCTTGCTTAAAAAACAAAAATATTAATTTAAATCGCCCTTATCATGAGCGACTGAGATGACACTTTCGGCTTTTTAACACGTGGCATTTGTCAAGCAGTTTATCGCTAATTGGATATGATCTAAGAAAGGAATTTCTCAGACTCGTTGACGTTTCTGAAACGGAATAAAAATATTTCAATTTCCCTCCGCTCGAAGGTCTGATAATAAAAATCTTTATTATCTCAAAAAAAATCTTTCAGCGACAACACCTTGTGTGGGCTTTTTCTAATTCTGAAGACTGTGTTTTCGTATTAATGGTTTGTCTTCATATCCTTAGATACACTTCCCCGTCCACTTAGACCGTTACTATCATTCCAATGACACACTTTCCCACTTGGGTGACAACCAATTGATAACAAAACTTCCATTTTTCGCGGATCCGCGGAAATCGGTCAGATGCTTGACCTGAAAATTTTTCGACACCTGTTATCTGTCAGCCGTGCGTGTGTGTGCTCGCCTATGACATGTTTTCGTAGTATTTTTTCTTTCTTTCTTCTTCGTGTTCTCTTTCTTTCTTCCAGATCGCTTGAATGTAAAGAAAGAATTATTCTTAAAACCCCAAATATTTTTCGGACTTAAATAATTATTAAATGGTTGATAAACCGTAAAAAACAAATCATATATCTATGAGTATTTCTCTAAGCTCGTCAGGTATGCATGGTGCCACACTAGCACGTCCGAAATTTTCGTTAAAAATCTAGTTTTTTTGAGTCAGCAAAATTGACCATTTTTTTGCATTTTAAAAAAAACTAGAAATCTGATTTTGAAATTTTTTTAAATATCAATTATCATTGTTTCAAAACTTATTTTAAGAAAATCAGAAATTATAATGTTTATTTAAAATATTTTGAACCAAACTTAGCTTTTGTGCCAAAAAGTTGTAATTTGAAAATAAATCAAAGCAGGTCATAAACTTTCGCGTCTCTTGACATGTGATGAATGATATATTTACGAATTCCATGAGGCTAATTTGTTCTACGGAAGGAGAAAAGTGAAATAATTTACATTTAACAAATGAACAAATTATTTACCCCGTTATTTTTAACGAAAATTTTCAGCGGTCTAATTTTTTTTTTTTTTTTTTTTTTTTCGTCTTTACGTTTATGATGCTTTATGGGAAATATATTCTAAAGAAATTAAAACTTTTAAGTGTGACATTAAATTTCATATTTCTTAAGAAAGGTATCTAATTAATTTATAGGTACCTTATGAAATTTTATCAGAATTGTACATAAATTACTATAATTTTATGTACATTTATTACATTCTACTGTTATTTGTATTTGCATTCATTTTATTATTAATTTTGATATTTCATTTATGGAAAAATGTCGTAACTGAGATTAATATAAAAATAAGATCATATAAATTTCATAAGATGATACTGATACTTGTAGGTACCCTTCTCAGTTGAAATTGAAAAATCAAATTAACTTCTCCACACGTGTTTCGCAAAAGTAAAGGCCTTAACAGCGGAGAACAATGCTTAACTCAAATAACGCAACTTAATTATATTCCGGTTGGTCTTCCGTATTTTATAATTACAGCTCCATTATAAGCAAAAAATTACATTTCTTAATTACTGGGGATCTTCTGATTAGTCAAAATGATACAATTTACAACGTGCTAAAAAAAGATCTATCTCATAAGGACACTTATGAAAGCTGATGCGGCTTTTAACTAATTTTATAATATTTTAACAACTTAAATGTAAAATCTATTATAATTAATGAAATAACAAATAATTGTATTAAAATTCATTTTCATCGAAAAATTTTTTTGCTTTCAGAAAATATTGTCCATATTCATAAAAACAACTAAAAGCAAATAAAAGCATTTGAAATTAAATAATATCTTTGTTTTATTGAGTTTTGTATGTTACAATTCAGAGCTGATTTTCAGGTACTGCGTATCCAATTAAAAACAAAAAAAAACATGATTTGCATTCCTCAAAGCCCTGTGCTTTTAATTATTGTAATCACTAAAACCGATCGAATTTCTAGCGTTTTCACAAAATTAGTTATGGGGGGGGGTAATAAATATTTTAAAAAAATATTTCTACCATGACTTTCATAAAAAAAAAACATATTTATAATAATTTCGATCATCTGTGAATAGTTCCTGAAAGTTTCATTAACATCCGATAATTATTTCTATTTTTGCACGATTTTTCAAATTAATGTGTGTCATACCAAAAAACGTGCTAAAATTGTCTGTTATTTACTAGTTCCGCTGATACAAATAGAAACAAGTTTTTTTAATCAAAATTTAGAATGTTCTAAAAGAAGGAAAATTTTTTAAAAATAATTAAAAAAAAAAACTTTGGTCATTCCTCTTAATAATAACATAAGCATTTAGACAATAAAATTTAGTTTTCGGCAAGGTTGGCGTCTTTTTCATCAAGCTATGCTCTTTTTTTAGCGATTTCGTGGAGGTACCTAAGTTTATACATATTCGTTGAAAAGTAAGAGGAAACTACCTAAACGCTTGCAAGACAAAAAAAAAAAGTGGCTTCATCACAAGCGCTTTTGCCCGCATCGAAAAGCTACTCGCAATGCAGCCGACGCCGCTTCAACTTCCATTCGACGGTCCCAGGAGACCACGGCTGAGAAAGCCGCACGTAACGAAGCGAAAGCTGCGGCAACGTCCATTCGACGGTCCCAGGAATCCATGGCTTAGAAATCCGCACGCCATGCAGCTGACGCCGCTGCAAATTCCATTCGACGGTCCCAGGAGACCACGGTTGAGAAAACCGCACGTAACGAATCGAAAGCTGCGGCAAAGTCCATTCGACGGTACCAGGAATCCATGACTGAGAAAACAAGGCGGCAACGCGATGCAATTTCAATTTCCGCTGCTATAGTTGTAGAAGGACCTACTGAAAGACTTGAAAGGTTGCAGACTCTTAACCTGCGCCGCCATGCACAACGAGGGATATGTAGCCCACCAAAGCAGATTTGGTTTAAGCTAGCGTTCAACTATGAGCCAGTTTTGAGGCTTTCCGGTCGAAAAGACCTCCAAATAGCATCCATGTCAGTTGTCTGTGGGCATTGCAATTCCAAAAAATGGCCTGGAGAGTCTGCAGGTTTGGAGGGTTCCAGTCCAGACTCCAAACATTTCCTCATACAGTACAATTGTGCCTTCCAAATGACCTCTTTTGGTGGTAATGCCTTCGGTTGGAATCCCACCTTCAAGGTCAGGTTTACGACCGGATTGGGTCTCTTTTGCCGGAAACTGCCACTGATTCGGCCTTTCTACAAATATACTTCATAGCTGACTGCAATCAACAGGCAGATGCGGGCATGGCCATTATTCCCGAGAACGATACAGGCCAGCACAATCATCCTCGCAGGGATATCATAATGAGTCTCCAACAAATGCTCCACGAGACAAACAACTATGTCCGCAGTTTTAAGTATGCTCTCGAAAATAACACTTCTGATTTCATTATTGTAATTGATGCTGACAAACGGCCTCAGGGACAGCACGAACGTCTTTACAATGCTCCCGCAAGTAACGAAGTTTCCGTCATTGTCAGCTCTAATCAGCACAACAGACGTGACATTGTTATCGAATCGCGCGGCAGTGGGCTCCGAAGAATCAGTGAAACGCACCGGTCCTACGATGCACTGCAATACCCACTTCTCTCCCCTTACGGAGAAGATGGGTACCACTTTCTGCAAAATGGGTCCACCTTAAAAACAGTGTCTTGCAGGGCTTTCTACGCATATCTATTGATGGTACATGAGGGTGCATTCAATCATCTTCATCGAAGCCGGCAACTTTTCCATCAATTCATAGTAGACATGGCAGCTAAGATGGAATCCGAAAGACTCTGTTACATCAGACCAAGTTGCGCTGCGACTCTTACATTCATCTCCGTGATGCTTTACGAAATGACGCTGATCCACGCAATATAGGCATGTGCATACTACCTGCAACGTTCACAGACAGTCCACGATACATGCACGCGATGACGCAAGACGCGATGACATACGTTCGTAAGTACGACCGAACAGACCTATTCATAATTTTCACGTGTAACCCAAAATGGTACGCAAATGCTAAAGAACTTATACCAGGGCAATCGGCCTACGACCGTCCAGACCTCATTGCGCGCGTTTAGCATCTGAAGTTGGGAAAGCTAATTGATGTGATTACAAAGTGCCAGGTTTTTTGGGGCTGTTTGCTGTCGCATGCACACTATTGAGTTGCAGAAACGCGGCCTGTCTCACGCACATATACTAATTTGGCTGTGCGACAAGATTGAGGCCACAGAAATCGATCATCTTATTTCTGCTGAAATTCCTGATCCGTCGGCTGACCCTGAATTGTACGAAATAGTGATAACCAGCATGATTCATGGTCCATGCGGGTCGCATTACAATTACACCAGCTGTCACGACAGCGACGGCAAATGCACCCGGCAGTACCCACGAGATTTCGTGAGCGAAACCATTACAGGGAGCGATGGTTATCCACTGTAACGGAGAAGGAGTCCCACTGAGTGAGGATTTACAGCCGTTTTAAAGGGCCACCAAGTGGATAACAGATGGGCAATGCCATACTATCCCCTGCTAACAAAAGCGTTCAATGCGCACATCAATGTCGAATATTGCCATTCAGTTCGCTCCATCAAGTATGTATGCAAGTACATCAACAAAGGGAATGATGCTGCAATGTTTGGTATTAGGCAGGAAGGTTCCGTAGACGAAATCAGTCCATTTCCCACTTCTTTAAACTGTTCTTTTTCCCAGGCCGCATCCCAGATCCTATTTTTCAATTTACGTCATTGTGTCATGCCGGAGCCCGATTTTTTATTTGGGACTCAAACTTTGTAAAAAAAAAAACGATTAACTCACAGGTGATACGGATTTTGGTGGTTTTAAGTTGAATGTCTCGCCTGCACTACGCGGCCCGGTACATCTAAGCTTTTCACCTCATTTTGGATTCTGTGCAGTTGACATCGCGTTGTTAAACACTTTTGAGCTCTTTTTATTTGAACTTAAAATTGGATCAATGTATGGTTTCCAAATTACCGGGTTAACAAAACAAGGGCAACAACAACCCCGCCCAAGTAGTATGACCAGTCTCAATATTTTCAGTGTGAAAAAGTATTTAACTGTTAACATTGTTTTTTTCATTCGGTTTTTCCAGCTACGAGTCCTTTTTTAAAGCTGATCGTTTTGTGTTCATTTTGTTTAATTCTTTTTTCGTAACAGATTTAATGTTTAGTATAGAGCTTAGAAAAAATTCGCAGTGAGGCATCTAGCAACATCAGCACGGCAAAGGGCACTCCTTTAAAGGCAAGGAAGGGCAAAAATATTTTAAGTCAAGTGATAGCGATTACTGTACGAGTCGTACGATTTTTGAATCAAGCACGGGCAACGCCGGACCATGCTGCTAGTTACTGATAACATTACTGGAACATTCAAGAATAAACTTTTTTTTCATAATTAAATGATTATTTTATTCTAATAATTGATTTGTACGAATACTTTTTCACCAGTTAGAATTAAAAAGTTCATTAATTTCTGTCAGAATAAGAATTATGTTTATTATTATTCTTTAATAGTATGTGTCTTTATACATAAAATGTGCCGAGATTTGTTTTATTTAAGGTTTTACATTTATAAAACTACAATTTTTCAAATGTACGAATATTTATTTCCCCCAATATATATATATATATATATACACACACACACACACGTGTGTATATCCAAAAAACCTTTTCTTTTTCTTTAATGCTTAAATAATATTCTCAGTGTCACCGTCGTTTTCGTAACGTAAATATCTCTCTAGGCACTTGAAGTAGAAAGGCCGAAATGCTTGACACGAAAACCTTTCCACACACACATGCAAATTAATATAATTCTTTTTGTACTTCACAGCGAATACGGCCGCATTATTTCTCTCTGTGAGGCTAGGTATTGAAAGTCTGTCGTGAGGCTATATGCAAACGTAACGCGAACCAGAACTCTAATCTAAGGAATTTGCTCTATGGAACCCTCGTCTAAAATATATTCTAGAGAATTATGTTCTAATGTCGGTTATTAACATGAAAACAGTTACTAAACCAAAACTCCATAATGGTATGCTTTCACCACATAATTTAACCACTATTTACTTTCTATAACTAAGAACTATGGCTTCAGTACACCTGAGTTTAATCGCAACTGAACTTATCACAGGTGGATTCTCCATTTATTAATTGCTATAACCAGTGTTAATTGTTGTAAAAAATATTTTTGTAGAGCAATGGTCCTTAGACGTGTTTTCCTTTATGCGAATATTATTCAGACGAAAGAAACATTCTTTGTGAGACGGCTGACTTTTTCCAAAACAAGATATTTTATAATGCTTCAGTTGGACATGCAAGTTTCCATTCTTACTAATAGTATAACCATTAAAATAAAAGCAACCATAAAGGAAAACATAAAAAAGAGCATATATATATATATATATATATATATATATATATATAAATATATAAAGGTGGTAGTCACGAAGAAAATATTTTTCTAACACAATTGAATGTAGTTATGAGGAGTTCATCTAACACAATTGAATGTAGTTATGAGGAGTTCAAGAAAAGGTTTCCTGAAGTTATGTATTCATGTTCTTTCCTACGGTAAGGCAGTTTTATTTACTGTTGGATGGATAGACTTTTTGCTTAGGAATTTTTATAGCGTTGTAGCTCCAGTACAAAGGAGAATCGGAAAATGAACGAATCACTGCGCTGAAAAACAGAATACTTGAGAACAGAACAAGCCAGAAATAGTAACAGAGAAATCATTTCCTGATATGCATCTGATTATTTTCAGAAAAAAATAACAAAGACAAGCAAATACATTGTGTGAAGAAGAAGGATTCCAATCTGAACATTGAAAAGCGAAAAAAAAAGTCATCAAGAAAGAAATATTTTTGTCACTTGTGATGCTTTCTGTTAGATTCTGAGATACTCAAGAATATGTCTCTATATATTCACATTGACTGGCACATACATAAGCTCGTTATTATTTATTTTGGTTTCTGTTGTATATACATTTCCTTCCGGGTTCCAACAAGAGACCTAAGGTCAGAAATGGCTTCATGAAATATCACACATCTTCACATAGATAAATCTCTTCGTAATATTTGAATTGTAAGTACTATTTTTTTTGTATTTCTTTAACCCATGGTATGCCAGGAATGTCTTCAATTAATCTATTAGCACATTTTCCAATCAATCCGAGGGCTGAAACTGGAAGTACTGATGTCCTCACGTGACACAGGTTTTAGATTTCCTCTTCAAGATCCATGTACTTTAATAGTGTTTTTGAAGATCTTCAACGATAGATCTCAATCTGTAGGGACTGCCATGTCAATACCAGAAGACATTCTCTTGTTGTCTTTGATTAAGTTGTCTGTATGTATAGCAAAGTCCCAATTTTCACAGGTCATAGTTCTGTAACCGGATCTGGGTGATGTTCATTTCCAGTTTCTTGCAGTGTTCTTCCTGTAAAAGTGGCATATATTCCAGTGCAGGTATTTTGACCCACGCTGTCATGCCAAGTTTTATATTCAGTTGGTGCTAACACTGTGCAAATGCTTCTTGATATTTATGACAATCTGTTTGGGGTCAACAGAATTTTCATTATGCATGCTTAGTAATTTCTAATTAGCAAGAATTGGTCTTGTGCAGCAAGAATAAAAACTTCAGTTTCATCTTTTAACCCTGCACTGCGTAACCCCTCACTGGTATTGGGTTTGTGTACCTCTGCTTGTTTCGCATGGGCAAAGTATCATTATAATTACCATTGTTATTATAATCATCATTATCACCACTATTACTACCATCACCATTACTATCTTAATTACTGCTGTTGGTATAAGCCTTCTTATATTTGTCTTGTGGCCACATTCTATACTAGATGAGATGAGTACATTTGCCTTCCTGGGGGTATTATTTGGTCATAGAACTTCGAATTCATTGTAAGTTCCGTATGCTAAAACGCATTTATTTCAGTTACAATTCTTTCAAATAGCACCCTGCATTTTCGCATTGAGAACTCAAATTTTTAAGATGAGTTTACCAATCCACAATAACCCCAGTCCCGAGAGACAAGCAACCACAAAACCCAGACAGATATAAACCTACATTAATATGTAATAAATACCGTATATCCTGTTAATATCATACCACATATTTTGTTTTACGGGCATTGATTATAACAAGTAGACAGCCTCCTACTGGTACTGTAAGTGTTTCGTTTATCTAGGTATAGCCTACGTTTAGCCATGCCATTTATTTTTTTATGTGAATAGGTAAACACTGTACTAAGCTATTTAAAATCTAATAACAACCTCCAAAATTTAACAGGTCTAAATTGAGATAATTTGTTGTAACGGAAAGCCAAACGACACTGTATATTCGGCAACTTGGACTTGCTAGTATGGTAAGCTATAAAATCTTCATAGTTTTTTTTTTCTTTTTAAATGATCTAATAAGAAGGGATGAAAAAGTTCCTATGCTGGACAAAATTTAAATGTAAGTAGAAACCTCAGTTTTGAACTAAAAAAAAAAAAAAAAACATTCAAAGGGCAGCTGGTCGGCAATATCTTTCTACAGTGTCGTAAATCTCCCATGTCTTTTACTCTAACAGGTATGTCTATTTAGATTTATACCTTGGTCAGTCTATGAACTTTCAAGACCACACTCGTAGGGTGCGTCTTACCTGTTGTAGCGTCTTACCATACGGTATACTTTCTTGATCACGTAAAGCCTTTTAATATTGAGGTAATGATACAATCAATCTAAAATTATGGTCAGCATCTTAAAGGTTTCTTAACTTACATTTCTTAGTTTCATGTTCAACCGGAAGTTGGTTGTTTTTTTTTTTTTCAAATAGCCATCTCGTACACAAATCAGAGCGAA